CCGGCCGCGCCTCCGGCCCCTGGTCCTGGCCAGGTGACTCTGCGCGTCCGGGCCTGCGGGCTTAACTTCGCCGACCTCATGGCCCGCCAGGGAGTGTACGACCGGCTGCTGCCGCTGCCCATGATCCCTGGCATGGAGGGCGCGGGGGTCGTGACCGCGGTGGGAGAGGGAGTCAGCGACCGCAAGGTGAGCGGGCCGCCCGGGGCGGGGCGGAGCGGCAGGGTCAAGGCTGCCGGGGCTGCCGGGCAGGTGGGCACGAATGGGCGGTGCCGGGGGTGTGGCAGGAGGGGGAACCTGGCCCGGACCCGGGTGGACAGGCGTGGGAAAGAACCCTAAGTTCTGCACTCCCGGAGAACTGGGTTTGAGAAGGTGCGGTGCAGATAACGGCGTCATCGCCCCCTCCCCAAGTATTTTCAGCGCCGGCCACCGCCCCGGGGAAGGAGGTGGGAAGAAACAATGAGGCGCCACTGCGCGTGCGCATCGACCACACCACACGCGCCCCCCCGCTCCCACCCCGCCCAGCCTTTATAAAACCACACCTGTACCGCTGACCACTAACTACTCCCTGAGTAACTGCGGTCTGCGGCCCGGAGTGATGGTTAGCCCCTGGTTTCCCCGAGGGAGCTGGAGGAGCTGTGCAGTGGGCATTGGGCGGGGGCGCAGCGGCCATGCCAGAGTCTAAGTCACATGCAGCCCCGTGGTCTGCGGGGGTGTGAGGCGGCCCCTCCCCGTGCGGGGCAGTGGAGACGGGTCACGCCCGTCATGGGGAGTGCCGGAGCTTCCCCGCCCGCCACTACCACCACGCCAGCGCCCATCCTATGCCGTCTGGCCTTGGGGCGGGGGAGGCGGGATTGGGGCTCTGGATCTTTGTCTTGGGCTGTCTCCCGTGACTGCAGTATCTCCTCCTCCCGTGACTCAGCTGGCGGCCCACCACCCCGTGGCTGGCTGGCCTCGGGAAGCTCCAGCGAAACGCCCCTGCCTTCCTAGTGGAGGACCCCTGCCTCAGAAACGTGCCCGGTCCGTTGGACTGGGGTGGGTCCGGGTGGCACGGTGAGCAGGTTGGCCCAGCTCTGCCGGTCTGTTTCTCCTTTCCGTGCATCTTGGCCACAGCCGTGCGCACCAGATAGTCCCCAGTGACTTGTGGAGAGGCCTGGGGTGAGGCCGCTGCATGTCCTTCCGTAGAGTTTTGTTGGCTGGAAGTCCAGCCCTGGCAAGAGAGGCCCCTCGATTCAGCCTCTGATGCAGGCTTCCTCTTGCCAGAGTTGCCTTGCTTTGTCTTTTTCAGTGATTTTATTGATATCAAATTCACGTATCATACACTCCATAGCTAAGTGCTTTTTTGTTTGCTAAGTCGCTTTTTAAAAAGCGCTTGTATGTATGTACATCATCACAATCAGTTTTAGTGCTACCTGCTCCCCACCCCACCCCCCAAACTGGCGTTTCTAGCACAAGCCTTCTGCTCCTCCTTCAAGGGCTTCCCCCACTCCCTCCACTCTTTTAAATAATCCAAGTTCCCGAGAACTTGCTAAAATAAATTTTGGAAAAAAAATTTTTGGGTGGGGGTGGGGCTTTAGTGCTTGTTTCTGCTGAAGGCCACCCACCTGAACTCCCTTCCCCACACTTTCCGCCGGGTAAATATAGGATATCCTGTCCAGCGCCCGAATCTGATTTAACAACCTGGATTCGGTGGGGAGGAGGGCTGCTCTCCCTCCCTCCTGATGTCTGCACTGGGCAGGGGGCATAGCCCAGCCTTGGGTTGGGTTGCAGTTTGGACATAAGCCAGGGTGAGACTTATTTTGGGTCACATCTTGCCCCGACTGGCCGCTGCCCCTTTGTCCAGGCTCTCAGGCGGTTTCTGTCACCTCTGAGCCCTGGGGTGAGAGGTGAGTCCATTCCCCAGACTCCGTTTCAGGCCAGGACTTGCAGGGAAGAACTCAGCCCTCCGTCCTCCTCTTGAGGGGAATATGGGGACTTGAAGACAAGAACAACGGTGTGGGGCTCCCCTCCCCCTTTCTCATGAATCCTGCCTCATTAGCATACAGAATTCCCATCATGCCTGTCCAGGGCCAAGACAGACCCAGATTGTCCGGAAACAGCACCCACATCTCCCTCCCCAGGCTCTTCAGAGACCAAGCCGCAGCCTGCCTTTCTCCTAAGAGCCCTATCCCTTCCCCTTCCCTTGACCCTGGCTGCTAATCTGGAGGGCAGGGCTCTTTATCTTTGCCCCTGTTGTACACAGGGGGGTAGTGGGTGGCTTTCCTGGTGGGACTGTGTGGCTGTCCTCAGCCCTTTGTTAGCTCTGGGAGAAGGTGGCTATTTGGTCCCCAGGACTGGTGACTTCTGTGCCCGGCTCTAACCTCACAAAGACCTTTAGCCCAAGTATCACCACGTATCCCCTCTGCCTCCAGCTGTTAGGAGCCCATGACTTTCGCTCCTTGCTGCTGTTATCACATTACTGAATGCAGAGTCTGCCAGAGATCATTGGCTAACCCCACTGATTACCTCTCCCATGTAATCATAACTGCCCTAATTTCCAAACGAAGTAACTACATGAGGAGCTCAGAAAGGTTAAGTAATTTAAATTTGCCCTAGGTCACACAACAGGTAAATAAACAGAGGGGCCCATTATTTAAACGGAGTTTGACCTCTTGGATACTGCGTTCATGCTGCCCCGACAGCTTCTCGTGTTCAGGGATCTTACACAATGCCCAGCTCTAAGATCTATAAAATGGAGATAAGGACAGTATCCACCTTAGAGAGCGGGTGGAAGGATTAAATGGGCACTTAGAGTAAGGTGACCAGATTTTAACATTGATAAAGCAGGACACCATTGTTAATACTCATATCCTGGCAAAATAGCCACATGGCAGCTGAAAACCGTCTACCCTAGCTTGTCATGCATTCTTTCCAAAAATCGGGACTTTTTTAAAACGCCATAGGACACAGGAAATATTGTTAGAAGTCCCACCGAAAGCGGGACGTCTGGTCACCTTAACTTAGAGGTAAAACACACGGGGGCCCTTGTGTTTGTTTGTTTGTTTGTGTTATTGTTTATTGCCTTCATTACCGTAACTATGACTGCTGCTTCAACTACGGCTTCATGGCCAAGAACAGGGCCTTCTGCCTGGTGGAAGGTCATGGAATTCCCTGTGGGTGAATGAACGATCTTCTCCCGTCCCTCCAGGAAGGGGACCGGGTGATGGTGCTGATCCGGTCAGGGATGTGGCAGGAGGAGGTGACTGTGCCTGCAGCCCAGACCTTCCTGATGCCCGAGACCATGACCTTTGAGGACGCCGCTGCCTTGCTGGTCAATTACATCACTGCCTACATGGTTCTCTTTGACTTCGGCAACCTGCGGCCTGGCCACAGCGTCTTGGTCCACATGGCTGCAGGTGACAGGCTCCTGCCTTTTCTCCCTCCCTCCTGACCTCGCCCAGATTTCCTTCTAGGCCCCTTGCCTGCAGCCTGGCTGGACGGTCGTCATGGCAACACTAGGCTGGCTGAGTCCGTGGCTGGCCAAGAGGCCTCTGCTGTGGTGCCGTTGCCATGGTAACATGCAGGCACCGGGTCCAGCCTAACTTGCCATCCAAATCAACACACCGGTGCCCGGCGCCCCCTACTCTCCAACGCCCCCTGTCCCCAACTCCCAATGATGGACATGGGGCATGGAATGAGGGGAAAAAGCCCAAACCCAAAAGAGAGGAGATGATGGTCAGGGCCCGTGCCCTTGAGAGGCGAGGGGGGTGGAATGGTTGCCAGAGGGCTCCCTAGCCCCTGAATGGGTGTCTCCACAGGGGGCGTGGGCATGGCGGCCCTGCAGCTGTGCCGGACGGTAGAGAATGTGACCGTGTTTGGAACAGCCTCGGCCAGCAAGCATGAGGTGCTGAAGGAGAATGGGGTCATGCACCCTATCGACTACCACACAAGTGACTACGTGGATGAGATCAAGAAGGTCTCCCCTAAAGGTGGGGGTTAGGGCTTAGGAGGGATGTGGCACCTGGGGGCAGAGAGTCGCTAAACTGTGGATCCTAAAGCTGTTCCCGGATCCCCTGACCCTGGCAGGAGTGGACATCATCATGGACCCTCTGGGTGGCTCGGACACCGCCAAGGCCTACAACCTCCTCAAACCCATGGGCAAAGTCGTCACCTACGGTGAGTTCGTACGCTGGGAGAGAGAGAGCGTGCAAGGGAAGGGAAGGAGGGCAGGTTTGAGGGGTGGGGCTCAGGTCTCCAGAGCTTTCCAGTGGACGAGGGGCAGGTTGTCAGGTGTGGCACACAGCACCAGGGTTGGAGGTGGTTCTTGTATCTTGGCATCCAGTGCTTTCTCCCAGGTACCAGCTACTGCCCTTCCCTTCCGCATTCAGTGTCCCCTCCCTCTGTGCTCCTCATTGGGGATTTTTCCTGATGCAAAGTCAGCCGCCAGGCTGACTTCTGTCTGACTTGCCCATGGCCTTCTTGGGCCAGCTCCATTTTCATTTTAAATACCGTGTCACACAAAAGACAGTCAAGATGAGAACAGTGTCTGAGCCCACGGAAATGGGTTTGGGCTGGTAGCTAGCTGGCAGAGAGTGATCCTGGCCCTCTCTGGCACTGCACCGGTGTGGATAATTGCACGGGCACCACAGGGGGTAGGCGGCCAAGGCAAGCATGCCAGGATGGGGCTGGCATCTGGATCCTCACTGCCTGTGCTTCATCCCTCAGGAATGGCCAACATAATGACAGGCCCCAAGCGGAACCTGATGGCCCTGGCCCGCACCTGGTGGAATCAGTTCAGCGTGACGGCGCTGCAGCTGCTACAGGCCAACCGGGCCGTGTGTGGCTTCCACCTGGGCTACCTGGAGGGCGAGGTGGAGCTGGTCAGTGGTGTGGTGGCCCGCCTGGTGGCTCTGTACAATCAGGGTCGCATCAAGCCCCACATTGACTCCGTCTGGCCCTTTGAGAAGGTGAGGGAGCGGATGGCTTTTGCGGGCAAATCTGGCCAGAGGGGTCCTTAAGGCTGGGGTCCCTGGGGCAGAGGAGAGCAGCCTCTTGCGCTGTGCAGGGGAGTTGAATGGCTTTGAGACCGTCTTTCCTTCTTATGGCCCCTCCAGGTGACGGATGCCATGAAGCAGCTGCAGGAGAAGAGGAATGTGGGCAAGGTCCTTCTGGTGCCCGGCCCCGAGAAGGAGAACTAGGCGAGGGTCTGGGCGACCCTTGGGATCCAAGGAGGGGGAAGTTGGGAAGCCACATTCTGTTGACCACCATCTCGCCTTTCATCCTCTGTTGTCTTGCTCCCCCCCACCCCTGCCCCCCAGGCCTTGGTGATGACCTCGTCCCATCCCTGACCTTTCTCTTTCTTCAGGAATACCCCCTCCCCCCGTTCCTGCTCCCTGAAGAGGTTGGGAAGTAATCACTTGGATGTCTGGGCCCCATGAGGAGACAGGGAGGGTCAGAGAGAGGCTGGATGCTTCCTGCCCCCCACCCTTTCCCGGGCCTGCTGTGCTGCTTTTGTGCCAAGGTTAGCCAGTCCTTTCCCCCCACCCCCACCCCGTCCTCATCTCCACCCCTGCCTCATCTCCTGCCCACCCTGCCCTGCCCCGCCACCTCCCCAAAGAATTGAAGTGTCAGCTCAGGATGTGGGGCCAGTCTGTGTGAGTCCAGCATGTACCTGTCTCTCCCCAGTGTCCCTTCACCCCCAGCCCAGCCAGCGCCCACCTCTCAGCCCTGCATGTCCCCAGCCTCTTAAGCACAATTGGGCGTTGTCCACCTCCTGGTTTTCTGCCACTGTTAGCCAAGGTTGCCTCTCCCAAGGGTGAGAATCAGACCCCTGCCCTAAGTCATGGCTCTTCACAGAGTCCCCGGGATCTGTTCTCTGTGCCTTAGCTACGGAAAACCTGTGCTTGTGTGTGTGTCTGTGTGTGTGTGGGAGGGGGGGGTTCCTGTCCCCACCTCCTTCTCCATCCCTCTACTCCCCAGTGCCTTCTCCTCTGGTGGAACTGGGGTCTCACGCATCCCCAGTCCCACACCACTGCCAAAAATCTGTGTACGTGCCAGTGGGGGGGTGCAGGGGCAAGAGCGGAGGCCAGCCCTAGCCTCCCACAAGGGGGAAAGGTCACCCTCTTGGTGGGCGGGCCGTTTGTGCCAAGTCCTGTCTCTGGGGCTGTCAGTTGTCAGCGGGTGGTTGAGGAGGAAGAGGCGGGTCGGGCCCCAGCCTTGCAGATAAGAAGGGCATTTACCAGCAGCAGCGCTGCCTCTCTCTGGGGCCAAGTGGAAATGGAAGCACATGCCCGGCTGCCACAGGAGGCCCCCTGCCTTCTCAGAGCAGGGCGGCAGCTTCTCCCTAAACTTTGTTTACACTGGTGGGGAGCTGGCGCTGGGAGGGCAGCAAGCAGGGCAGGACCTGGATGGCTGGAGCCAAAGTGGGGACTTGCCAGGACTGGGGTGGAACTCTCCTGCTTTCCGGGCTGGGGGTGCGGGGTGCTGATTGCCCCAGCCATTGCCAATGGGAGTGTGTGTGTGGGGTGGGGTGGGGGGGAGGCCTGAACATGTGAAGTGCGATCTCTGCTTTTGTGTACCCCACCCCATTACCACAGCTGCCTTGTGTTTGTGTCAATAAAAAGCCAAAACCCTGGTCCTGGCTGTTCCCTCACTGATGAGAGGCCGGTGAGGAGAGCAGGAGGTGTCTGGCCGCCCCCGGCGGCCACCTTCCCTTCCCTTCCCTTCCCTTCCCCAACTTTCCTTTCATGAAATGAGGAAGCACAGCAGGCCACCCAGGCACGTTTACTCTCCTTTGGCCTAGTTGCTCAGCCTCAAAGCCCCACCCCTAGTGAGCAGGAAGGCAAGAGAGCCCTGGCTTCACTCGGAGGTGAAGACAGCCAGCCCCCGCCGGCCAGGAGGCACGACTTTCAGGGCCTCCACCTCCCCGCCCCCCCGGGTGGGCTTCTGGAAGTGGATCTCCAGGATGTCTTGCAGCTCGGGGCCGTCCAGGATGTCCGGGATGTGGCGCACCACCACTGCACGGGACACTGGCTGGAGGCAGACCTGGGGAAAGAGGTCCTGTGGGAGCAGGGCCGGGCTCTGGACGGAACTGCAGTGGGGACTAGGGGACGCTGGTCCCTCCTTGGGAAAATTCCGACAGGCAGACAGGTTGTCCTGGCTGGGCCCGATTCTCCACCCTCTGCTTACCTCGGCATTCTGGATCTCGCTGGTCATGTAAGGAGAGACTTTTAGAAGCACCTGGCGCCCATCCAGTGTCACCTTGAACTGGCCAATCTGGCACAGGCGCCGGGCCACTGTAGGAACAGGAGCAGGTGGCCCTTTAGCATCCAAGGCCCCTTCTCTCCTGTGGCCCCAGGCACCTGTCCCCTAGCCTCCTCTCCAGGGTTCTGGGGGCCCTGACCTCCATCCTCAATGAAGCTCAGCATGACGCCTCCTTGCAGCCGCTCCCGGATCTCCACATCGCCGCCCCCGTTGCTGGCTTTGCCAAAAAAGATCTCCAGCTTGTCCAGCAGCTGTTCCTCGCCCAGCTGGAGCCCCGCAGGAAGCCCACTGACCAGCACCCTCCGGTCACTGATCTGACTGGACACCTAGGGGAGACGGGGAAGTGGTCCCAGGCACAGCCCCTGGGCCCTGGGCGCTGCTGCAGAGCACTCCTATATGTCGTCCCCAAGGCCTGCCATTCTGTCACCTGGATGGCGGTCACCATGGGCAGCTCCAAGGGCTGGGCCTGCACGCGCAGCCGGCACTCTTCCATGTGGATCTCGTGCTCCTGTTGTTGCAGGATCTGCTCAGCCACTGGGTGCGGGGCGCAGAGGTCGGCACTGGGGAACCTCAGGCCGAGAGGTTGCCTCCCTGTCCCCGCCACCTCCCCCTCACTCACCCTTCAGGTCATCAAAGATGACCACAGCAGAGCCTCCAGGCAGAGGGGTGCAGATTCGCAGGTTGGAAAGCAAAGCCTTGGGTGCTGCCCGGCTCTGTTGCGTGTGGCCTCGAAAGACCAGCGGTAGCTCCGGACACGGGAACGGCACCTGGGGTTGGGGGAGGGGAGGCTGATGGAACTCCAAGTGGGGGCAGAACCCCCACTCCCTCCCAGGAGGAGACCCCCCTTCCTGTTGGACGGATGCCGGGCACCAGAGTGAAAGACATTTATCTCCGAAGAAATCGCTGCATGAACGCACGGGAGGAGCCATGCTGGGCTCGGACACACACCCCAGGACGGGAGGCAAGTTCACCTCGCAGATGAGACGAGCGAGGTTCAAGTCAAGCAGTATTCTGGGGGCCACACAGCAAGGCCAGGTCTCTCTCTCTCCCAACCACACACACACACACTCACTCTGACCTTGTCCTGGGGGAAATGCATGTGCTCTCTCTTCAGCTCCTGGAGCTCCCATAATCTCTTCTTGAGCCGGTTCTGCTCCTCCAGAAGGCTGAGGAAAGAGCCCTGTGGGAATGGGCGGGGGGTGGGGGACACACACCAGCGGCGTTACTAGGGTTACCCGTGGGCCTCCGACAGTAGCATAGGAATAACGTTTACTCCCAGTTTCATCACAGAGGCACGGGTGGTAGGGGTGCAAACTGATTCAAGGTAATATTTCTTAGATCCACACTACCAAAATTGTCTTGTAAAATCTTTAATATCCAATGACATCATTACAACATTATTGGTAACTGAGCACAAGTTTGTTAATGTTTCTCCTTTTCCTTGGTTTACGACTTCATCCCCCTCCCCGCAAAAATGATGATAGGTTCATACACACTCATGATAATCTTGTAGCTGAAACACCAGAAAACTTGACAAAATCAAGGGTGATAAACACCCTGGCCGCAATGAACACAGCTGCACGTGCAGAAGAAACCGCGATTGGAAGCGCCGTGGTAATTGGCAACAGAACACATTTGAAAGTACCAGAGGGATACACAGCTTGGAGCGTTCTAGCCTTTTAGGTATATTGATACCTGTGAGCTGGGTGCATGAAAAATGTTTTGATACCTAGTTCCAGGGACCGTTTTACAGAGGGCCATGCATTGCGGCTGCTAACGCTGCACGGAACATTGAGTGTCCTCTCAGTGTCACCTGGCTGACCTGCACCCCTTCTTTCTCGTGATGCCACTGGACCAAGCAGACAGCTCTCCGCCTTTCCAGAGACCCAATGAGCCCAGGGAAGTGGGGTCCTATTCTGGATGTTCCAGCAGAGTACATGATCAGCCCGGGAATAGCGCACCCCAGCCCCCGGCCCGGACTCGTCCTGGCCCACAGTACTCAGGGCGTGGGGCTGGCCTCATCTCAGCTTCTCGCTGACGGGCAGGAGGCGGCAGCCTTGCCACTTCACAAGCACTGATGGCGCTCCTACTAGGAGGTGCTTGGGCACAGAGCTGGGCAGGGGAGGAGACGTGGCAGGACAGCCATGGCCTGGTCAGTGAGTGACTGACCTGGTGGTGCAGTGGAAATGGGGGCAGGGACAGGCCTGAAGGGGCTAATGCAACAAAGGAGCCTTTTTAGAGCCCCAGGGGCTTCGATTTCCACACTGTCCTAAGAGGCTTCAAGCGTTTTGTTGTGAATCAGTTGGGGTTACGTATCAGATGATCATCTCTGCATCCTACAGATTGCTTCTCAAAGCTCCCGATGACTGCTATTTCCCCCCTCTCTCCTGTGTTAGCTTCCCCTTCACCCCAGTTAGCACCTGTCCACCCTCTAGCCTATTGCTGCCTCTTTCCTCCCACCACTGGTGGTCACTAAAGCCTGTTTCTTTTTGTATGAAAACCTCTGATTTTTTAAAATAACTGGTTTCATACAGTATTTGCCCTTTTGTGTTTGACTAACTGCACTCAGCATAATGTCCCCTAAATCCACCCACACCATGAGTGTTTAACAGTTTCCACGTTATTCTGTAACACGCTGTAGTATTCTGTGCATATGTAACAAACTTGCTTTATTTAGGCCTCTATTTTCTTGCTATTGTGAACTGTGCTTTATGAACATGGGTGTTTCATTAATGTCTGCTAAGTAATAATGACATGACTGTCGTGAGGCATGGTGGGCTAGGAAGAAAGGCCTGGTGATCCACTTTGGAGGCCTAGTGATCCAACCAATGGGAACCCTGTGGATCCTCATGGATTACCCACAACTGACCCTGTGAAGGGCCCAGGGGCTGGGGCATTCTGTTCTGCACGGAATCACCTTACGTCACAGCTGAGGACTGCCGCTAACAACATGCAGGCATGACATAGTGGTTCCCCAATGGGCTGCAAACCACAAGGTTACTAGTTCGAATCTACCAGCCACTCCATGGGAGAAAGATGAAGCTTTCTACTCTCATCAAAAGTTAGTCTTGGAAACCCACCGGGCCACTGGGCCCTGCCCTGTGGGGTTGGTGTGCGTCAGAATGGGTTCAGTGGCAGTGAGTTTGAGTTTGAATGCCACCTTCTTTATGTGGCTTAGATCATTCCATTCTTACTACTGTTTCATGAAGCAAAGAGCAGATTCACCCTTCTTTTATGAGGAGGAAACTTTGGCTCAGAGGTTCAGTGACTTGTGCCTCTAGAGCCCTTCAACTCCGGGCAGTTTGTCCCCATACCTCTTCCTGCTAGCCATTGTGCCTGGGAGACGCTGAGAAAATCAAGCCCCAAGCAATTGTCCAGTGTCCCTCAACTGGTCTCCTTCCTGCCACCCTTTCCACCGTACCAAGTGGCCTGTCAGACTGGGTGTGATGTGGAAGAGGTCCGGAGAGAGAGAGCTGGTGACATCGGCAGGGTTAGGGCACGAGGAATAGGAGTGGACACCCCCTGACCGTGCCACAGGACTGCCACACGTGGATGACTTCAGCAAGCAGAAATGTGTCTGTCTTCTCACAATTCAGGGGCTAGAAGTTGGAACTCAGGGCACCAGCGCGAGGGGAAAGCTCACTCTGTCAGCTCTGGGGACAGGTCCCTGTCTCCTTGGCTTCTGCTCCTGGGTGACCCTCATGTGGTTTGTCATCTCTGCCTTGCTCCGTTGTTGAATCATCTCTCCCCAAAGAGGGACTGACTCAAAAGAAACCCTACACTTATCCCGACGGCCTGCTGCCCTAACAAAGACGATCCATTCTCAAACGGGACTGTCTCTAGAGGTGTGGGGTTGGGATTTAAATTGATTAAAAAATAAATAAAAAATAAAAGATATCCTTAACACACACACACACACACAAAAGAATTGTATGAGCCCCCATTAAAATGATTTAAAAAACCACAAAAATTAAAAAAATATATATTTGGGGCTGGATTAATTCCTCAGTTTATCCCCCTTTTACTTCTGATTTAAATTGTAAAGGTGCTGACCGATGAAACAACTTTCTCTAGTTCTTTAATGCTCCCCTCCACCGACTATCATGACCCCAATTCTTACAAATCCTGCCAGACCAGAGCATGTACACGGGTACAGATCAGAGCTGGAAACACAGGGAATCCAGGACAGATAAACCCTTCAGGACCAATAATTAGAGTAGCAATACCAAGAGGGGAAGAGGAAGGTGGAGGGAGAAGAGGGAACAGATCACAATGATCTATATATAACCCTCCCTGGAGAATGGACAACAGAAAAGTGGGTAAAGGGAGACATCGGTCAGTGCAAGACATTAAAAAAATAATTTATACATTATCAAGGGTTCATGAGGGAGGGAGGGGAAAAAGTGAGCTGATACCAAGGGCTCAAGTGCAAAGAAGATGTGAAAATGATGATGGCAATGTATGTACAAATGTGCTTGACACATAGATGGATGGATGGATGGATTGTGATAAGAGTTGTACGAGCCCCCAATAAAATTATTAATTAAAATAAATAAATTGTAAAGGCGCTCTGGTGTCGCTGTTGGGTAAGCACTGGCCCACTAACCACAAGGTCGGTGGTTCAAATCTACCAGTTGTCCCCTGGGAGAAAGGCAAGGCTCTCTGCTTCCATAGATTAACAGCCAAAAAAAAAAAAAAGATTGACAGCCTTGGAAAAGATAAGGGTCACTATGAGTTGGAATCAACTTGACGGTGGATTTGATTTTGAATTTTAAATCTCAATTCAGTTGTATGTAATTGCTTGAAAATCTAGTTGCCAATGTTATTTTGGTAATGCTATTGATTATTTGAAATGGATAGCTTAATAAATCGATTTTCAAAAGAAAAAAAATTAAAGTTTGGATTTTATTATCATTTAGCCCAATTAATAAAAATGTTTGTCTTGTGCATAGTATCTTTTAAAATTTTTATTAAATACTTTTATTGGGGTTCTTACATCTTTTATCACAATCCATACATTCCTCCAGTGTGTCAAGCACATTTGCACATACGCCACCATCATCATTTTCAAAGCATTCTCTCCCCACTTGAGCCCCTGATGTCAGCTCCCTTTTCTTCCCTCTCCCTCCCCTGTGCATAGTATTCTTATAAAGGCTTATCTATACGAACATGAACTTAACCCAATAACAGTTAGCTTACAGCGCAGGTGAGAACAGTCAGTGGTAGAGTCTAAATCAGGGGTCCTCAAACTATGCCCGCCGAGGATATTTATCTGCCTGCCGGGTGTTTTTGCCTGTTTTGTTTTTTTCACTTCAAAATAAGATATATGCAGTGTGCATAGGAATTTGTTCATAGTTTTTTTTTAAACTATAGTTCGGCCCTCCAACGGTCTGAGGGACAGTGAACTGGCCTCCTGTTTAAAAGTTTGAGGACCCCTGGTCTAAATGAATGGGTGTGCCGGAGTTTAGTGTGAGGCACGTCAGAGAATTGGTAGTTACCGAGGCACAGTTCGACTCCAGGTCACTGAAGGATCACAAAGCTACCTCCCTGTCCAAACTCCCTGAAACTTCTCAAAGGGTCTATTAAGAACAACTCCGGCAAAAAAAAACAACAAAAAAACAACTCCGACTGACTGTAGTTATTTACTTGAATTTAACTGTGCATGCTGTTGATTTGTATATTTATTGACTTAAATGCAAGCCAACATTGTCTGTTGCTCAATAGAAACAAGAACAAAATGGATTCAGTTGAGCTTGTCCAGAGAATCAATTTTGAATGCTTAACAAAAAAAAAAAGCAGGTACTGTAGTTATTTCTGATTCATAGTGGCCTGCTAGAGCAGTGGTTCTCAACCTATGGGTCTCCACCCCTTTGGGGGTCAAAAACCCTTTCACAGGGGTCACTCGATTCCTAACAGTAGCAAAATTACAGTTATGAAGTAGTAACGAACATAATTTTATGGTTGGGGGGTAACTGCAACATGAGGAAGTCTTAAAGAGTCGTGGTATTAGGAAGGTTGAGAACCACTGTTCTAGAGGGTTCCTGAGACTGTAAACCTTTCTGGGAGCAGATAGGTTCATCTGGGGCTACTTTTGACTATGTGCATTCTCCCATACTTGCTGAGTTTATAACCTAAGTTTAGGTCCACAGAACAAAATCTCATGTCATTTATGCTCATCAGGGAAGTACTGGGAGGCATCTGGACATAAGGTACCACAATAGCATAAACATGAGCCAAGCTTTTGGGCTTCCACCCCAGCATCTCTTACTACAATATGAGCATGGAGAACGTATTTCAGGCTTCATACCTTGATTTCCTCATCTGTAAAGTGACGTAACGGCATTTTCACCTGTATCTTGCTGGGAATGGTGCCTAGCACATAAAACGTGTCATAGGAGAATTAATGTTTTCTATTTTACTAATCCTCATCTTATAGATGAAAAAATGGAGGTTCATCAAGGCTAAATAATGGCTTCCGTCAGTCAAGCTGGTCTTTTTATCTCCAGACTACTTGAACTTCGCTTTCTCTAAAGGCGGAGTTGGCAAGGGAGAGATGAGGTCATTTTAGATCTCTGAGTGTCAGGTGATGAGAGCCACCCAAACAGGTGACTGCAGTGGGTGAAGGGGAAGGTAGCATCCTGAGAGGGAGATGGGGAGAGAAAAGACAAAGAATGCTGGAAACGGCAAGTCATCGAGAGGCTTCATCAGCTGAGGTGGTCTGGAAGCCCTCACCTCACCCAACCACCCCCAAAGGCAAGAGGGCTGAGCTCCCAAACCAAAGCCAGCTCCATCCAGCTGATTCGGACTCAGGCCCTGTGGGACACAGCAGCACTGCCGGGGGGTGGGGTGGGGTGGGGGCGGGGAGTGGGGTTTGTAAATCTTTTTTTTTAATGGAAACAGGTCTTTATTAAGTAACATAATATCAGATGGGTTGTAAATCTTCCCTCATCTTTCTCCAGGGGAGCAGCTGACGATGTGATTGGCAGCCCATGCAGCCACGGTGCCACCGAAACCCTTCTTTAAATGCCAGAGCCTTGGACACATCGTCTGGCAGGATTCCTAGTCAGTGGTCAGGAGAGCAAATGGAATGAAGAGAAAGAAGAAGAAGAAAAGGTTGGTCAGAGAAGTGGCACCAGGCCCAGGGCTGGCAGACATCAGACAGAGATGAAACGGGGGTGAAAGAGTAGGAGGTGCTATGAGAATTCTACTCATCCCCTGCCGGGGACCCCGGCTCAGCTGCAGGATGAAGATGAGGCGATCCACTCCCTTGGAGATTTACAGCCTTGGAGAGGATGTGGAGCGACTGGAACCCACCACCGTGGACTGCGGAACAGCACCTCCTCAAAGATTACCACGGTGACAGAAATACCCTCCACCCAGCAGTCCCTCTACTTGGTATCTAGCTACCCTTCAGAAATAAGGAGCGGAACACGAGCAGACAGATGTCCACCAGGCTCATCCCAGCATCACTCCTTGGGCAAGAAGCCGGAAACAACCTCCTTCCTAGTTGGAGGGATGGATAGGCAAGTGTTGGCGCATCCCACAATGGAATAGCATGCATCGCCGAAGAGTGATGCAGAGACTGTCAAACACATACTTCGTGACCTGGGGAGATTTGGAAGATATGTGAAGTTAATAAGGTGAGACCAGTGTTAGAAAAGAATAAAAATCAAGATAAAAGGATTTCATACCAAAGGAAACACTCTGATGGGGACGGAGGGGAGGTGGAGCGAGGAGGGAGGGAGGGAATTAAGAAAAGATTTACAACCTCAGCAACCCTACACGGGTCCCCCCGAGAGTTGGGGCTGGCAGTGGATCTGTTTGGTTTGACTCTCCGAAGAGCTACTGCACTTTTAACCTGTTACCCTGTTCGGGGCTCTACAGAGTGGCTGAATCAAAACTTCCGGCCCTTGTCGAACTTGAATTATCCACAAGGCTAGCGCTAATAAATGAAGCAAGGTGTTGGATGGTTAGGGAAAGTCTCGCTGAGCCAAAGCCTCAGTCGATCTGCCCTTCACACCTGCATCCGGTCTACGGGGAGCTGGGAGAGGAGCTGGGAGAGGTTCGGGCCTTAGGGCCCTGACACCTACCTGGTAGGCTTCTTGCCCAGAAAAACTTAAGTTTTCCCCACCCCCATGTCTTCTCCCTCACTTACGGTATCTTGGGTAACAGACATGGGTCTGGGGTCCGGTTGGCACTCCAGGCTTCAGAGTTGGGTGGAACTGGCAGCGTTCACCAGGACGAATGCTGGGGTACCCTTTGTGGGCGTCAGTATCCCCCAGTCACAGCAGGGCCCGGAGCACACTTCAGGCGGCTCCTGGCTTCCACTTTCATTTCTGTGAAAGCCCGGCCCTCTGGCACTCACACGCCCCCAGTGGTGGATCCCCACCCCTGGGAGGGGCCTTCCTGGCTTTGGAAGCTGACCTCTTATGAGGGCCTCCAAGGGCAGGACCCCTGAGCAGCTGTAAACTGACTGCAAGAGTCTCGTCAAAGAACCAGTGCCAGCTGCAGAACCTTCTCAGGAAGCACCCCTGCCTCTGCCGCACTCCCTAGATCCATGCTTCACCCTCGTCCCAGGGCCATCAGTTACCACCTCCAAGTTCCTCTTCGAGCATGCTTGCTCTGAGCACTTCTAACCAGCCAAGTTCGCGAGGTTGTGCTGGTTTGTTTGCCCTTGGTGCCTGGGCAACAGCTGGCGCGACGCCAGTGGGACAAAACCAGCCAACCAGCTGCTGACCCTGTTCCTCCAGGAGCCCGCAGACACAGCAGCGCCATTTCCACTTCACAGCTGAAAACAGGCAGTTTTGTTTTTCTTTTAGGCATTTACTTAGGTGCAATCATTCAGGAGGGATTTTAGATCGTGTTGAAAGCAGCCACATCCATGGATTGATTGCAGTCTTCAAAAGCAGTTCTCTGTTCTTCCAGCACACCTGTACCAGCTTTATCATCTTCAACTACACACTGTAGTAGTTCAAGGTTTTCAATTCCATACCCCACCGAACGAGCTTGGATGAGCCCCAGACCAAGCCGGCCACTGGCATGCTTCTGCCGCACCCACAGGCAGTTTTCAAGAGTGGCGGAAGGGCACAGTACCACAGGGAAGAAGCAGTCTCCAAGGATTGAAATGCCCACGACCCAGCAGGTAACTCTCTTCTCCACGAGCACCCAGCACAGACCAGTGTCCCACTGCTGCTCCTTTCTCAGTGCTGGTGTGGAGCCACGTGAAAGGTTCACTTACACCCAAGCTTCTAGCTGATTTTGAACCAGGGGCCATTTAAAAAAAAAACATTTTATTGGGGTTTTGTACAACTCTCATCACAATCCATACATCGTGTCAAGCATAATTGTACGTTTGTTGCCATCATCATTCTCAAAACATTTTCTACTTGAGACCTTGCTATCAGCTCATTTTCACCCCCTACCTCCCCCACAAGCCCTTGATAAAATTTATACATTATTTTTCCGTCTTACACTGTCAGATGTCTCCCTTCACCCACTTTTCTGCTGTGTCCTCCTCCTGATGTCTCTACTCTCATTATTGGTCCCGAGGCTTATATGTCCTGGATTCCCAGTGTACATCCTCTGGTCTAGCTGGATTTGTAAGGTAGAATTGGGATCACAATAGTGGCGAGCATTAGAGAACTAGAGGAAAGTTGTAGGCTTCACTGGTGCTATACTGCACCTGGATTCCCCTTACAGAAGGGTTGGGGCGGAGACAAGCCAGGGACCATTCCATCGGTGCAAAAGAGGCAAATACTGTGGCCCACACAGGCCTGGGTCAGGACCAAGGCTCTCCCCAGGGTCTCATTAGCAACACCTTTCTGGAGCGGGTTCCCAGCAAACCATCTAGAGGACTGCTTCTCTCCCACTAGTGTCAGGTTTGAAGAAATGTGGTCATTGGTTTTCAACTCAAGCCTGTGGCCCGTACCCCAATGCAGGGTGAGGGAACAGGATCTTCTGGCATGTATCAGACCAGGGAGATAAATGTCAAATTTTGTCCAGGTGGAAACAGCCCCTTTCAGAAACACTTCAGTGCACCATCCTTTACTCACAGGACAGGGTTTACATCTCAGATGGGTTAACTTTGGTCTTCCAGTCCTTCTACCGCCACCCAATGCCTCACCCCCACCCCCACCCCAGTGTTCTTTCCCCCAGTTCAATAGTACACACATAGCAGGCAGACAAAGAGATATCTTGGGGGTGTTTTTAATGATTTTGACTCAAGATCTAGAATCTCAGCTTCTGGAAGAACCACTTGTTTTTGCCTGTCTTGTACCTGGAGGGGAAGAAAACAGACATGAGCGAGGAACAGGGAAGCAGGAACAGTGAACAATTACTGGCCCCACAATTACCAGCCAGAACCTACTTACCTCTCCTCAAATTTGACCTTGGCCTCCCGACGGGCCTTGCGTTTAAGAGCAGGATCTCTGAAGACATCCTTGTTGACGACAGTTTTGTCCAAGGGGATGTCTACGGAGTACCTGGAGAGTGATGGCGGGAAGGACCAGCTCAGGTGCTGCCAGAGCCTCCACACAAGCCTCTCTGGGACACTGGGTGTGAATTCCATACAAGCATCCCAACGACAGTCTTGGAGAAGCTTCCATTTCACTTCTTCAATCCACTGGGAAAATCTCAAGCTCCAGTCTCAACTACTTGGAAGCTAGCAGCCTCAGGTGCACAGTGCCCCAAATGCCCACCACTATCACAACCACAACAATTTTGACTCAGAGACCCTGTGGGACGAATGGAAGGGTCCCTTTGGACTTAACTTTCACAGAAGCAGCCAGCCAGACCTCTTCCCTTCGGAGCGCTGTTGGTGGGTTCAAATCATGGACTTTACGCTAAGCAACCGCAGAAAAAACACCACCCCACTACCTGTAACTTCACTGTAACTCACTGCTGAGTTCTGACTCCTAGCGACTCTACTGTGTTCCAAACCTACGGGAGCAGACACCTCTTTCCTCATGGTGCTGCTGCTGTGCTGGAACTGCCAGACTTCTGGATAGCAGTCAGTGCTCAGTCAGTTCAGTGGCAGCTGTCTTTTAAGCAGCAATCTTTTTTTTTTTTTTTTTTTTTTTTTTTTTTTTTAAGCAGCAATCTTTAGGCAAGTGCTGCCTGGTTCAGACAGTTCTAATTCCAGGTCTCCCAAAATGTATCATCTATAACGCTTTTTCCAAGATAGTGACATGCTGCCGAATGTAAGATTTCAGCGAAGGGTCAGGGATTACAGGACCCAGGAGAAAAGGCAGACAAGGCACTGTCTTAGTGCTTACTGGGGATGGAAACCAATGATGACACCATCTCTACCCAGCTTACAGGAGGAGACATAAAGACAAGGACCCCAGCTGCAGCCTAAGTGGACATGGTGTCCCTTCCGCCCATTTGAACAGGGTGGGAAGGGTCTCTGGATTCCCTCCCACGTTGAGATGCTCACCTTGTGGGCATGAGATGATTATAGTTATACACCTTCACAAAAGACTTGATCTTTGACCTCTTGGCAATTTTCTTCTTGCCCATGGCAGCTGTCACTTTGCGGGGGTATCGGTCGATTCCAGCCACCAGGGCGTGGCTGTAGGGGCGGTCGGAGGTGCCATCGTCAATGTTCTGTAGGAGAGACGTTCGCAATCCATTGAAGGCTTACTTAGGCTAGATGCAGGCCGGGGAAGGAAGAATGCCTCCCAACCCAGGTCTGCGACCCACGGTGCTATGAGGAAGCCACCACAATACAATTATGGCCTATCCTATATGACCAGAGAAAGCAGGAAGCAGAAAAAAGGCTTCTGGAGATGGGGTTTGAAGAAGGAAAACAGTTGTGGCATGCTTGCTATTTGCACAGGACTCAGGGCATTGCAGCTCACAACCCGCTGTAGCCACAACGGTGTCAGTCCACTTGGACTCCTGGCAATGTATCTGCAGGATGGAGACAAACACTACCTAGAAAGTACTGCTTAAAAAAAAAAAAAATCAATCGAAAGGGCTCAAGTAGAAAGGAATTGTCTGGGGACTGTTGATGACAATATATGTACGAGTGCTTCACACTATTGAAAGGTGGATTGTAATAAGATTTGTAAGAGCCCCCCAATAAAATGATTTAAATAAAAGCACTGCCTGACTCCTAGCGCACGTTCGGTAAATGTTGGCCACTATATTATTTAGTCTCTGAGAGGGTATACCGCAGGTATGAGGGCCCATGCTGGCGTTGATTTCGTATCTCCCACCCTCAAAAAGCCCTCCTGCACTCGCGCTCCCACCCGCCAGCACGCAGCGCCCCCCGGCCTCCCCCGCTGGGCGACACGCGGGCGTGGAAGTGCCGCGGCTCCTACCTTCACGATGACGGCTTTGCGTCCCGAATAGCGTCCCGCCAGGACCAGCACCACCTTCCCGGGTTTCATGAACTTGCCCATTTCTGCAAGGAGAAGGAGTCCTGGAGAAAGCTGGCGCGCCAACGACCCCCTGGGCGGAGTCCTGCTGGCGAGCGCAGGCCGCGAGCCCGGACCGCCGGGAGGCGCTTATTGCTCGGCGGGCCGGGCCCCCACGAAGCCGCCAGAGGCCCAGCGACCGAACGCACCCGGCGCCGCCCGCACCCCGGCCCCCTGGCCGCGGATGGAGGGAGATTGGAAAGCCCTTGCCAAGACGCCACTCACCGACAACAGGCTCTCGGGCCGACAACAGAAAGGAAGCAGCAGCAGTTCCGTTGACCTTTCACCACGGGAAGAAATGATCTCACTTCCGGTCCCGCCCCTTACGCCTCGGCCACCTATCGTTGTTCCGTCTGTATTGTGGGCGGAAGAAGTTCTTGAGGTCAGAGCGGGACCTGGCAGAAGCCTCATTGGAATCCAACTTTATTAAGCTCTGTGGAGTCGAGGGCCGAGGAGCCGGGTCGGCCGGCCCGCGGAAGGGAGAGGGGTGTGCTCGCCGCCATGCTGCCGCCCTTGCTGTGGGTCCCTTCCTGGGCGCTGGGAGGGGCCGCCTGCTCTACTGTTTGCTTCTTAGCATATGCGGGGACGGCTTTGCATCTTGACCTTGCCCTGGTGGCCGACTGGGAAATGCTGGCTGCAAGATCAGCAGGTTCCCAAAGGAAAGGGAGGCTCTGAACTCTCGTTAATGTTTACAGTCTCGGAAATGGACTCGGTGGCGGTGGGTTGGGCCTTTAGACCGTGTGTACTTTGTTCAGGTTCCACAGGAGGGAGAGACGAAGTTCTATCAAACGAAAATTCTTTCCCACAAATGTGCTTTACACAATTGATGTACGTATGGATTGTGATAAGAGTCGTATGAGCCCCTGCTAAAAACGATTTAAAAAGAAAAAAGAAAATTCTTCCCCGCAACACGTAGAAGTTGACATCACCGACTTGACTGAGCTGTGGCTGAGGTGAAGGAGGGTGATGGGGACAGTAGCAGGTTAGGGTTAATCATTTATGTCCATTGTTATCACAATTGGCCCTGCTAACAACCTACGGGGATAGGTCCGTCATTTCCATTCTACTGCTGAAGAACAGGAGACTGAGGGAGTTTCACTTGCTCAAAGTTCAGAGCTAGTTAGGAGTCGGAACTCAGACCCGAGCAACCCAACGCCTAACCTCAGGCCATCGTGCAGACCATCTGCTCTATACCAGCTGATGGACGGCAGATAACGGACGCTAGGCGCTTTATACCTCGGAATCCCGAGTGTTTTCTTCTCACGGAGGCGACATAGGGAAACGGGATTCAAGGCGCCATAGCCTATGACCTGTCTGGGATTCAGTCTGACCAATGGCATAAATGGAATGTAACTCAGCCTGCAACTCAGGTCTGGTCCCCGCTCAAGCAGGAATTACCTGGACGAGTGTTACCTGAAGTTCTAAAGAGCTCGGTCCACATTTCTGCTCATGTAAAGCACTGAACCACCTGCAGAACTGGTCTTGAGGCAACACGTGGGAACAATCGACGTAAACCTTCTTCAGGCCCTTCACTCTTCGTTCTCTTCTTGAGCTTCTCCAGGGGCCAATTTCTCCAGCCGTCCTCAGAACCCCATTCCAATAACTGATCACACTATTTTTATACCCTATCACAATACTTTAAATTCTAGTGTCAAACATCGAAGGGACCTCAGAGATCATCCACTCTAGCTTCGCACTGAAAGATGAGAGATCACAGAGCGTACTCTTCGTTCTCATCTCGGTGCTCCTTCCATTCCATCACGCTACCCCGTCCGTTTTCACTTCCGTGGTCTTCTCCTAGCCTCCTGAGCTTTATTGGCTTCTTACCTATGGCTGTTTCTCTCCATTCTCACACAGTCCTACAGTCCTGGACTGACTGGACCTCCTCTCCTCCTCTGCCAACCCTGTCCTCAGTCACAGTCCGGGAATGTCCATGTCTCTGATGCCGGGGATGCTGGCTGGACTGTCTCAGGTTATATGTACTTTACAGGCTCGTGAAGAACTTGGCTGAGCAATGCCGGTTTGCGCATCTCTGTAGCCTAGTCCTCTGACAGGTGAAATTCCAGGCAGGTATGTGGAAAATACTGATGGTGAAGTGAGAGGGTGAAGGGAAGGAGACAAAGATCTAGAAGCAGCGTGACACAATGAGGGAGCCCAAGAAAGGCTGTCAGATTTGGAGCCAGACAAGAGTTCAAAGTCCAGCTGTTCTATTATGTAAATCTGTGGCTCTTCAGCTGAAAAATGAGGATAATCACCGTACAAATCTTGGAGTCTTGGTGGTGTCGTGGGTTAAGCATTGGGCAGATGACGTCAGTGGTTCAAATCCATTTGCTGCTCCGTGGGAAAACTGACACTGTTGGCAAACTGATTGGGTCTTGGAAACCCTATGTAGCACTTCTCCCTGCCCTAGGGGTTGCTCACTATGAGTTGGAATTGACTCAATGGCAGTGTTTTGGGTCTTATGAGTAGTTAGAAACGAGGATCATACACACACATGCTTCCCATGGTATTAGCTCAAGGCAGTAATACAAGCTGGCTTGTGGAAGGATTCAAAAAAGACAATACTGGGGCCATCCCATGGCTATAAGCCTTTACTGCTCATTCTAAATGGCTTCCGAATAAACTGATCCAGAGTGAGAGTCCCCAGAGGGCACGTGTGGGGATGTGGTTATAGCCTGGCTGGAAAAGGATAATGCGAAGTGTCCTTTTCAGCGAAGCAATCTTAAGAGAAATGGAAAAACCAAAGAAGGATAATGCGAAGTGTCCTTTTCAGCGATGCAATCTTAAGAGAAATGGAAAAACTAAAGCTGAGTTGATCCAGGGCAGGGAGAAGGCCTGCCAGCTCTCCTGAAGGGCTGGTAAGTGTCCAGACAGACTTCAGAAAGCAAGGACAACGGTTGGTCTTTAAGGTCTTTGCAGCGAAATTACACAAAATACTATGATTTTATTAGCAATCACAGATGCATCACTTTTCACATCATTTTACACGAAAACACTTTCACACAGGTGGACTAATCCTACCCAAATATCAATAATGCATTTAAATAAGTAACACATTGCTGAAAAAAGGATTCAGTTAAAATGCACTACGTAATAGTGCACAGAGAAAGTGCAGCTGGCAATTTAATACATAAAAACAAGGTAGAATCACTCATATTTGGAGTCCATCTGGTTTTCCAGATGAAAAAGATTCCTCCCCGAGGATCTAGTTGGTCCTGGAGGCGCACCCACCACAAGCAGACTGACAAACATAAATTAAAGACGACTACTGGTGACCACATAGGACCAGGCTAGTCAGTTTTACAATGAAATACTCAGCCCACTGTCTGTAAACAGCAATTGGCTCTAGGACCTCGCTCCCCACCTTAGTACTAAGCATCTGCAGTGG